AAAAAAAAAAAGATGGGCCTGGAAGATCACCAAGAACCTTCAGTGCAAACTGATAGTATTGGGATATTATTTGGACCTGAATAGGTAAATACTGAGAGTAGGAGAGTAGTATGATCCAAGATGGGCTTTCCAAAGACAAATCATAGTCCATATTGGGGAAAATTAAAGGGAGTAGAGACTTGAGGTAGACAGTCCAGGAAGGAATCTGAATCACTTAGTTCATGTAAGAGGGAATGAACATCTGAACTAGAGGCAGCAGGAATGCAAACACAGCTACCAGCACAGGAACTTAGGTGGAACAGACTCAGATATGGTAGGAAGAATAGGTTCTAAGCCAAAGGCTTAGAAAGGCTCCTTTCCTCTTATTTTCTAGAAAGTGTTCAGTGGCAAAGTATTGCCCTATTGACTTGTAAAGTACCATAGAGATAGAAAATTCTTGTCCTTAGCCTCTTTTCTTCCCCTCGGGTGCCCTAATTCTTCTTAATCTGAGTGTTCTGAAAGGATGACTTTCTAAATAACTCCATGGCATTGAGAAAGCATTCCATGAAGCTGAAATAACTAGGTAAAAAGAAGATGACAGGACTTTCCAAGAAAGGACAATTTTCAAAACGAACCAAATTATTTCTGAAATTTCCAAATACAGGGCTCTTTTCCAAACACCATCACATTTTGGAATGTTAAAAAGATGTCCTTAATCAGTGGTCAGCAAACTCTTTTGTAAAGGATCAGACAGTAAAAATTTTAGATGTTGAAAGCCAGTGTTCGCTGTCTGAACTACTCAGTTCTTCCTTTCCATAATGAAAAGTGCCACAGGTGAAGCAGAAACAAGTGACTGGCCCTTTTCCCCCAAAACTGTTTTTATGTGAACAGGCATTGGTAATATACAGCAATGGTCTGTAACTTTCTGATTCCTGTCCTAGAAAATAAGGAATTTTTAAAACCTGAGTTAACTTACTATCTTGACATAGAAATACTTTAGATGGTCAGATTGTGAGTTTGAAATATTTCATTAACTTCAATATGTGTGTGTGGTGGAGGAGGAGAATTCTAACACAGAAAAAGCTAATCAAATATTGTATGTGGACATAACCTTGGTGAACTTACTTCTAAAGGTCTTGGTCCATATTTCTTCTGCATCAAAATGAACATCTCCTCCAATGCCTGCGCCTGGCTGAAAGGCGTGAGCAAGGATACCATTGGGCCCATCAAATGGAGAATTGTCACCATGATCTGAAGTAAAACAATTAGTATTATTCCTTGTTGAATTTTGCTGAGCCAAGGAAGGAAAGCACAATTGAGCATGACTTTTTCGGCTTACCTCTTTGGACAAAAGCAATCATGATATCTGCTTCTCCTTGAGAGATCTTGGTGAAGGTTAGTTGTGTTGCACCACTCCAGGCTTGAAAGGCTTTCTCAATTGCTTTTTCTACATCAGCCTTTGACAGCTGTGGGGTATAGTTACTAATCCTTTAAAATAAGAAGGTTCATTACTGTTTATCATAGCAGTCCATTAGAGATTGAGTTCTGCCTTATTGTATGTGGTGTTTTAAATTATATTTATTATTGAGATAATGTTAATTTACAACACTGTATATTTTGGGTGTATAGGTTCACATTTCTACAAATGTTTGTTATCACACTGAATCCACCACCAGAGTAATAATCCACCAGTAAACCTCCACCATATGAGTTCTTTTGTTTTGGAGCAAGTTACTTAAATGATAAGATGTTAGAAAGAACAAGGGCAGGATTCTGGATTGAAGACAGATGTATGTGCTGCACAAGTTACTACATGTCTTGAGACTCAGTTTCCTCATTTGTAAAATGAGAATAAAATATACCTCTCACAGGGCTACTGTGGGGTTTAAATACATCTAAATACATATCAAGCATTAGTTTGCTACTTGTCAAGTAGCAGTATCCAGTGATATTGTCATCATCATCATCAAGATGCATTAAAGGTGAGGCTAGATTTTCCCCAGCAGTGATTAAGTTTTTGGGGGAGTCTTACTGTGATTCTTGGTGAGATACTGCCATAATCTTTTTTAGAGCGCTACAGAAGGTAAAAAAAAAAAAAAATGCAGGCTTTGCATTGAAAGAACCCATGGGATCGTTACCTATTTGTTCTCATATTTGTTCACCAGAGTCTGAACTTAATAAGGACAGGGATAGTTATACATCGCTGGCACTCCCACAATCTACAAAGGTGCCTGGTACATTACAAGAGCTCAGTAGATAATGTTTTAGTGAATGAATGGTGAAACTCTAGAAATATCACCTGTAGGTCAAGTTGGTATGTTTCCACTTGGGGTGTCCTTGGGTCAACATAAAATCACCACTATCAGGCACTCCACAGCGAGGTTTTTCCATCATCTCCAGAGTTTCCTCATCTGGCTTTCCTGTCACTTTCAACCCAAAGAACTGCTGCATTTCTTTCAGCTTTTCAACAATCATACTAGAACTTTTCTTCTTTTCCAACTGGAATCTGTCTTTTGGTAATTGGTAGAAGTTCTCTAGGTAACGCTGGGCAAAGAGAGACATGTAAGGGAATTTGCTGTGCAATTGCTTCCCATCTATAAGGGAATTTTGCTTTCTTTTCTAAGTTACTGCAGAGGCCAAGCCAGGACTAGAAACCAATAGCTAAAGGGACAAAAGCACTGACTCTGAGAGAACAGAACCTATTGCAAAGACTAGTGCTCTAGGCACTGCTCCTGTTCAGGTTCATGCATCAGACTAGGTGTTTCCCAAGAAATATAGATTGAGGTCTCATGCAAAATGCTAGTATGTAGTCAGGAGACGGCTTTTTTTTTTTTTTTTAATGAGAAACTCAAGTACTAGCATTTCTTAACTTTTGGAGGTCCTAGATACATCAGTGCACATGCTCTCTTTAAATCATCTTTTCACTGTAGTAGAGACTTAATTATTCCCAAACATGGAGGGGCAGAGAAGAAATTTGCCAGGGTGACAATTTAGTCTCAGCTCACCATGTTTAAATGGCAGTGAAAAATGGCAATTTCAAAAGCACTCCAACAGCGGCATCGCTGCTGATAGCTTTTTATCTACCAAGTCCTGGGAAGGGGCCAGCACTCACAGAAAATAAAGATTCTATGGGTGTTAAAAAGCCAATCCTGAAACATCTTTCTCTGGCCTTCAGCACCCTCAACCCTGTCCAGACTCAGGATAGAATGCTTTGTGGTCCCACAAGCTTTGGGGTCAGATCTAACCTTTGCTGTGTATTAACTAAGTTCTTAGACATGTCACTTCACTGATTTAAGATTCACTTCAGTCCTTTAAGTAGAAATAATAGTCTCCCTTATTGTTTTCCTTCTCTCCCCTACCCCCAGAACGGTTAACGCCCTCCCCCTGCTTCCTGCCTCCCCCCCCCCCCCATACACACAGGGCTGATGTGAGCAGGAGACAAGATGATGTTTGGTAACTCTTAACAAGCACCCTATACAGAACTAGCACTCAATGGCCTCTAGTTATTAATTCCTGGGTACTATTAGCTTTATTAGAGATATCAAAAAGTAAAAGCATCTTCTCTAAAAAAACTATAATGCTAAGAAAATTACACTTCATAAATTTGTAACAGATTTGCTTTGTAGTTGTTAAAATTTGGCCTGACTTTTGTTCCATGGAACAAGGGGAAAACGTTACTGGTTCTGTTTTTATAGTACTTCCAAGAGATTTTAAACGACTCCATCATCTTGTGTTAGGAAGTCTGATTACACTATGAACATATTTCTATCCCTTGTAATTTTGCATCCTCAAGCTCTCATCCACACCTGGGATTCTGACTACAAAAACAAGTGCCTATAGGAAGTACCAGGCATGTAGCTGTTGGATCTGGGTTGCAGATGTTCTGGAAGTGAACAGCTTAGGTCAAGGAGAAAGGAAAGCACTTAATTTGTAATTCAAGCCATTCCTTCTATGTGGCTTCCAGGCATTCCTTCAATGTGGAGACAGCTGGGATGTTGTCTTTTCCAGGCTTTGTTTCATGCCAGTTTTTACAGGGCCCAGGCCTAGCCATCTTGGAAGCCTCCACATCCCTGAAACCAGATATGCATCCAAGTGCTACCCAGGGAATTTCTTTAAGGCTGTTTGAACTGAAAAGAGAAAGAAGTCCACCAAATTCCTAATAACCAGCACATCAACCACCCCCCTGCTGAAAGTCAATTTACCTGAACAACTTTTATATCTTTTCCTTTGGGGGATTCAGAAGATACCGGAAATGCCCTGGAAAGCTGCATGTGGAGCAAGAGCACAAGTGGAAGCTGCTTCAGAATGAACATGGCTTTCTTCAAGCAGGCCCGCTCCTGCCTTCTGCTCTGCACCTATTGGACCCTTCTCCAGGTGAGTGTCCTGGCTTCAGTGTCCCGCTTGGTGCTGTCTGGCTCCCTTATAAAGCAGTGTCTTCAAGATTGCTGCATCAGAAATGTGAAGCAATGCAAGTTAATTACACTCTTGACAGTTTTGCAATGCTGTAGTGTGATTTAGTACCCAAATATGGGGGACTCTGAACAGAAAAAAGTGCAATTTATACTCTTTTATTTTTTTATTAAGAGATTTACTTTTGCAAAAATCAGTCTGATCAAGAAAAAAAGGAAAATGGTACTAAGGTTAAATGCCACCAGTTATCTAAGAATTTACATTTTCTGGCTTCTTTGGATGCCAAGACTGTGCTGATTTTATGCAGGGGAACATGGTGAGACAACCACTGGGTATTTATGCTGGTATTTGGGACAAAGGAGCTTAATCAAAGCATCTCTCTACTCACCTGCCCTGCTGTGGTTGAGGCGTGTGAGTCATCTTGTCACAAAACAGGATTTATGTGGGAATCTTGGGGTAGCTTCTGAAGGATCTGGTTTTGGTATCAGTGTAGTAGAAAATCCCCAAACTGCCAGCTGAATTTTCCACAGGAGAGACAAAGAGAACAATCCTGATGATAACACACATTTGTTGAATATTTATGTGCCATGGACATCACCCTTTACATACGTTGCCTTAGTCTTTCCTCAATAGGCTTGGGAGATAGATGCTATTATGACCTGACTTTTATAGAACTGTAAGCTGACTTGTGCAGGTCACAGGCTAAAATGTAGAACGGCCTGGATGCCACCCCAGGTGGTGTGTTTAGAGACCCAACTGGCAGCACCCCAGTCCCCACAGGCTGTGTAGTTTCCACTGCTGCTGCTGATGGAGCAGTAGTTCCTGGCTGCATCTACCTGGATGTCCAGTAGATGTCCTGGCTTGTGTTTGTGGAGGAAGAGCTGAGAGAGAATGAGGTGGTTTGCATTTACCTCAAGGAAAAAGAAGACATTCCTCCTGGTCCCACTCATTCTGCATCCACAGGCATGCACATCATATACCAGTTGGTCTCCGTGTGCAACTGCCCTCCATGTTCACAGTCCTTGCTTTCACAGACTCCAAATACGGAGTAAGCATGGTTGCATCCTTACTGAACACGCAGTCTTTCTTTCCTCACCATTATTCCCTAAAACCACAATTAAACAAATGATTAACTTAGCACTTAAATTGTAGTAGGTATTATAAGCAAACTATATTTTATTTAAATCATACAGGAGGATATGCATAGGTTATATGCAAATACTGTGCTATTTTATCTAGAGGACTGAGGTCCATGGATTTTTGGAATCTGCTGAGATCCTAGAACTGGTTCCCCGTGGATATTGATGGATAACTGTATCATTTACATATACTTTTGTATATTCTGCAGGTGTAGTTGTCCTGTGTATAAAATGTGTCAGCTATTATGAATATGTATTAAAATGTCATTTAGTAAATAGTATCTTTGGTTGAGATGCTATGGTAAGTAGTTCAGTTCCCTCCTAATATCACTTGCAAGTTCTGTATGCAGCTAAAGAAATTGTCTTCATTAGACCATATTTGGACAGTAGAAAAATATTCATGATTTGGATTTCTGAATTTATTCAATAAACATTTCCTGCCACCTACAATATGTCAGGTGCTGTGGTGGGTACTCAGTTACGGAGGCAAGTTAATAGCAGTTCAGATGAAATATGGAAACTTTGTAGGAGAGAGCAATGGTGTGGGAGGTGGAATCAAGGAATGCTGTGTGAAAGAGGCAGGATTTGAACTAGACCATGAAGGGGAAGTAGACAGTGGACCTGCAGAGATGTGGTAATCATTTCTTTGTACTAGGTGATAGCTTGCCCCCATGTTGTCAGGCGCTCTCAGGTCCTGATCATGTGAACTCTTAACCCAAGACAATCATGAGGTGGCGGCTTCCACTAGGTCTCTAGTGAGAGTGCCTCTTGTTAGTATTGGTGTGCCATATGTTACTTTGCTATTACTTGTTGATAAGGCTTATTCGCATACTTTGTTCTGAACATAGAAAGTGATTTGAATAAAAATACCTTTGGTAAACCAGCTCTCAGGCATTTGGGCAAATGTGTTGACAACCAGGACTGTTGGCTCTGGCCCCCCCCGGCACAGACCCCATTCCAGTGCAGTGGTGGTACTAGTAGGGCCCCTTAGAGTCCTTTCTCCACATGACCACTGCCTGTCTCCGTGTCATTTGTGCTGGAACCCCAAATTCTCTCAGTTTCTTCCTCTTTGACATATCTGCTTAGAACTTAGTTTCTTACTAGTAAGAAACAAACAAATGAGTGTTTAAAAAGGTGTGTACCTTTTAAAAAATGAGGGCTTTGTTGCTTATAAATTGAATTTCAAGCAAGTATGCAGATGATGGAAGGTTAGTTTGGGACAGAGACGATGCAATATGAAGGAGGGTCTTTCTGTCTCCTCAGTGCTATCACTGTAGGCAGCACCTTTGTCTGATCATCCTGTGTGCTTGCTATTCCACGCAGAGATAGCAGGTTGTAACTCTGAAGCTCAGTTTTGCTGCTCAGTTTCGCTGTTCAGAGATGGAAGTGGTTGCACAGATACAATTCTTTTTCTCTTTATAGAAACAGAAGAGAGAAGGAAGGGGTAGAGGAGGAGAAAGGTTAGGAGGAAGAGAAAGATGAGACTAGAAAAAGAAAAGGTTCAGCCAGCTGAGGTAGCAGGGGAAGGTGCCTAGAGATGTTTGTGTGTGCCTGAATTTTGAAGGATGATGAGGAGTTTACCAATAGGGGATGTGACCTCATAGAGACCCCCATAATATGTGCTAAACACACATGTGTAACCAGTGAAGCAGATGGCTAATTTGGTTCACAAACCAATGCAAAATATTCTCTGCGTCATGCATTTCTGTACTCAGATGATCAAAATAGAGGTCTGCCCTCATCAAGTGACCAAGGTAATTGGTGGGGTACTTTGTGGTGAAAGTTTCATAGGAATGCAATTGTACTAACTGGACTTAAGCTGTAATTCTGCCACTTCCTACTTATGCAACTTTTAGCTAATCACCTAAGTTCTTCTGAGACTCAGTTTCCACATCTGCAACACTGGGGCATTAACATTTCCCTCAACCAGGCTCAAAAGAAGCAGGCAAGAGAGTGTGTGTAAGCTCCATGTAAACTACACAGTGTGTAAACTTTGTATCATGAATGTGATGAAGTCATGACTATGCTTGTTCAAGTGTACACTCTGTGAAAAGTGTAGGCAGTGAAAGATCCTCTTTTCTAGAAAGAGAAGTCCTTCAATGTTATGCCACTGAGTGATGAAGTAACTTCCTCACAGCTTCCTTCAGTGTAGTCAGGTAGTATGTGCTGTACAGCCTCTGCAAAGAGCATAAATCGATAAGATAAAAATACACAAACCATTTTATGATAAAACATCACAGCTGCTGGTCTTCACAGTCAAGCAACGGAAACATGTATTAAGTATCTGTATGCTGTAGAACTTAAATGTTTGGTATCTGGCCCTCCCTGGTGGTGCAGAAGGTTAAAGTGTAGCACTGCAAGCTGGCCACAGCCACTTCAGTGTGGGCTCCATCCCTGGCCAGGTTGGTGACCTACATGGCTCAGCAGATGTCACCTGTCTCACCCGCTGCTCCCCTCAGCAGTGTACTTCATCAATCTGCCTGCTCTGCTCCCCACCCTGTCTCTGGTGATTCCTGTCACTGCCCCTGCACCTCTGGCCTGTACCCCAGTTCTGTATGCATAAATAAATAAAATCTTTGGAAAAAATATTCAGTGTCTATAATTAAGTATCTATAATCTCCCTTAAGCTTCATAATAACCCTGTATGTACCACTTTAAGGGTTTCAGAGAAGGAATAACTATATCCTATTGAGAGATCAACAAAACCTGCATGGTGAGAATGGCCTCAAGGTAAATTTCAAGCAGTAAGTTGAACTTCAGTGTTGAGATTGGTGTGAATGAGGGTGGGAATGAAAGAAGCAAGAACAAAGGCACTTAAATGGGAAAATATGGGTTATGTGTTGGAATTAACAAGGTGCTGGGTATGTAAGCATAGAATTTATCAAAAGAGCTTCTTTTGAAGTTTAGGGGGCCTTCCTGGTGGTTTAGGGGTTAAGTCTTAGGACTATAACCACGATGGCCTGAGTTCAATCCCTAGCCAAGGAGCTAATCCACATGGTGCAGCAGACCTCTCCTGTGTCACCTGCTGCTCCTCTCAGCAGTGTATTTCAGTAGATCTGCCTGTTCTGCTCCGCACTCTGTCTCTGGTGAATCTTCTTCTCATCCCCTCACACCTCTGGACAACACTCTAGTTCTTCCATACAAAAAAGAAAAAAGGTGGGTTGCATAACTTTGACTCTAAAGCTAGTTCTGTTATATCTCAACAAAGTCATAGATTAGAGTATATTTTCCATTTTAATAGCTTCTTTAGTTTAAATGTTGCACCGAAGCAATTATAGAAATATTCTGATCTTTCTTTCCTCCAAAGTTTACAGTAGTGGTTGTCTATACAAGAGGATAGAACTAGAACTTCAGAGTAACCTGAAATGGCTGCCTGAGAGCCATAAGGGCAGTAAGTTTCTTTTGTAAGTAGAGTGGAAAGTATGAGACTGGGTTTTGACCCTCTCTACCCTTTTCTTGATCTTGAACAAGTCCCTTCATCTCTGTGTGTCTTAATTTTACCCTGATTGGGCACTTACACTGTGGCCTCTGAATAGCCCATTTCATAGCCATAAACCTCAGTTTCTCCATGTGTGAAATGGCGGTGACAGCCACACCCACATCATAGAAAAACATGGAAAGTGTTTAGCACAAAAACTAGTTGATAGTACCACATACTATGTAAGAATCTCTGACAGGTCTGACAATTGGATATGAAAATACCTCACATGATAGCTGTGACTCTAGGGAGATCAAAGATAAAAAACAGTTTATAAGTGATGAAGTTCATTTCAAAAGATTTATTTAAACATTATTATTATTTTTTTTAAATTTATTTATTTATTTGTAC